GGCAGCAATGCTGCTGAATACCAGCTGCTGGAAAAGCCAGAGGGAGAGGAGAGTTTTCTTGTGGTCAAATTCTGCTTGCTGGTTTCCCACAGGCATCTGAGTGGCCACTGTGAGAACAGGGTGCTGGATGAGATGGGACATTGGCCTGATCCAGCAGGTTCTTCATGTGTGTGTGTATGTGTGTGTCTCCCCTCATCCCACCTGCCGCACATCCCACCCAGGAAGCATGTTACTGTGTGCACACCAGGCTCACAAAACTCAAAGTGTCCAAGAAGGGCCTGGACTTATTTTTGCCCGGGAAGATGAGGCAGTTGATGAACAAAAACACCATGTTTAAAGCCCATTCCTTCCTTATGGAATCCTGGGACGTAAGTTTACCCAGAGGTCTAGCTTGAGAAATATGGCGATGAACACAGACAGAAGCTAGCGTTATAAGGTGGAGCACTCACTTCCCAAGCACGGAGCTCCCCTTTCCTCTGCTCCTGAAGAAGAGGAACTGGCTGGAGAGCTTCCAGGATAAATGTCACCACTAATGTGCCATAAAATATGAGGCTGTCTGTCTGGTGCTACTGCCTAATATTGCCTAACATCTTGCCTTTAGAACATGCTATATCTGTGGTCCTGCTGGTGCATTTGAACCAGTACAATTTCCACTTTGTTTGTTTGTTTGTTTGTTTAATTTATTTATAGCTCATCTCATCAAGGTGCTTTTCAAAAGGCAGATATATGGAGGAAGGTTAGAAACTCTGTAGCCTTCAAGTGCTAGCAATCATCCTACTCCCTTTTAGCTGTGAGCATTGGCTGTCACCAAATTTCTGCTAGTATGTTTTAAATTCTAGGGACATCAGTGGGGCCATAGCTCCATAGCCTATGCCTTGATGGCCAAACTCAGTTTCATGGATGATACTTCTGGTTGTGTGCCATGACTGGCTGCAGAGTTATTAAGAACCCTATTCTCCATTACAGCTGTGGGGCAGGGACAGAGGAGGTGAGGCCAGTTGCCTGCAGCTGTTATGTGTGGAAGTGTGTTAACTTAATGTTTGCATCTTACACTGAGGATATTGTAGCAACAAAAGGATATAGCTACAGCAGCGTTTCTTTTTATTCTAACGTGACACTTTTCCATAATAAAGGGATTTTAGAAAAGATCCTTTCTTGCCCAGCAAGTATAGGATCACGGTTAAGTTTTGTCCATGGGAAAATATCTCTATTAGCCAAATAATGTGGTTGTCATTTGAGATCTGTAGCTAAGTAACGTTCCATTTCTTCACAATGAAGCGGAGAGGTTAAGAAAAAGCAGCTTGTGAAAATCGCCAGTTTGCCCTTGCGAAATGAGCCCACATTACATTATGGCAGCTATTCACATATGTTCCCTGCAGCAGTCAGTGAAGTTTTGTGTCGTGCTGTGAACATGATGGTTTCTGTAACTGGACCACCCAGCATCCTGTTCACTGAACTGACCCCTTTCCAAGTCTCATTTAACTCAAAGGGATTTAGCTCTTTTCGTTACACAATAGAGGAAGCTGCTGTTCCTGGCACACTTTCAAAGCGGAAATCTGAATAAAAGTGAAGATCTGCTATTTGAATGGCAGGTTTTGAATGATTCTTTGGAAAGCTGATTGTTCAGATGTCGGATTTTGGAAGTTTCAGGGTGGGTGAGAACGTCTATTCTCTAATTCAGATCATCATAGCTGAGTCCAAAGTTGTTTTTTGTGGAACAACTAAGAATGAGTGTCCCAGTCAGCTACACCTTCTAGTTAATGGTAAGAAGATTTCCATTGTTTTACACCTGCTGATGAGTTTTTTGCACTGTGTCCACAGTTTGCAGGTGCTAGAAGGGAGAACTGATGAAATGACCTTGAAAAGCATAGGAGAGTAGCAGCAGGAGAAACAGACAAGCAGAAACAGACCTAGACTGTTTGGAAAGGAGCCAGCTCTGAATTTCAGTGCCTCCAAAGTCCACTAAAGCCTGAGTATCCAGATGGATTTAGCAACCCAAAAACAGATCCAATTTAAAAAAGAAAGAAAGAAAAGACAGATGGCCAAGATATGCTTTGAAGAGTAACCTTGTTTTCTGAGCATTTTAAGCTGCCCTGCCAAATTATTTACACACAGAGAGACACACCAAGCACTCAAAGGCATCTCTTTGAAACTTCCCCTCCAAATGCTTTGTTCAAGGTCACCTAATTTGGTTGTTTTAACCGATGCCCGGTCCCAGCTTCAGCTTTCCCAAGAATCCATTTGTGCATCCGTAATTGTTCATGTTATCTCTGGCAGACTAACAGGACTTCAGTTAAAAGCAAACATAGCATCGGCAGGTGTGCTGCTTAGAATTGCAGCCACTTCAGAATGTTATCAATAGGAGGGCAAAGCTGGATGATCATGTGCTTTCGGAAACAGAAAAAGGAAAAGCCGCAGAAAATAAAAAGTCTCTGTCTGTCAATGGAAACGAGGGTGCACAGTGGAAGCATATCTTGTCTTTTTTTTCTAATTCAAAGCAAATATAATGACATTCGGAACAGACTCAGCCAGCTGGATTTAAATCAGCTTAATTAATGCCCCTAAAAGTCTGTTATCAAATATTGTTTCCCCTAGGAGGATGCAGACGAGTGTGCATGTGTGTATCTATCTATTTATACATATGTGTATGTATATGTATTAATACACTGCAATACAATACAATAAGGGACGTGGGTGGCGCTGTGGTCTAAACCACAGAGCCTAGGGCTTGCCGATCAGAAGGTCGGCGGTTTGAATCCCCGCAAAGGGGTGAGCTCTCGTTGCTCGGTCCCTGCTCCTGCCAACCTAGCAGTTCAAAAGCACATCAAAGTGCAAGTAGATAAATAGGTACCACTCCGGCGGGAAGGCGTTTCTGTGCGCTGCTCTGGTTCGCCAGAAGCGGCTTAGTCATGCTGGCCACATGACCGGCTCGCTCAGCCAATAAAGTGAGATGAGCGCCGCAACCCCAGAGTCATCCACGACTGGACCTAATGGTCAGGGGTCCCTTTACCTTTACCTTTACCTTTACCTTTACCAATACAATAAAGGAAGGAAGGAAGGAAGGAAGGAAGGAAGGAAGGAAGGGAAGAGAGGGCAGCTGATGGATACTAGACTATGCTTTACTTCCACAGTTGAAGGAAGCAGTGCTTCTGAATACCAGTTCACAGGAGGGGAGAGTGATTTTTTGCTTGAAACCTGCATGCAGGTTTCTCTCAGGCATTTGGCCAGCCACTGTGAGAAAAAGATGCTGAACTAGATCAGCTATTGGCCTGATCCAGCAGGCTCTTCCTATGTTCTAACTTAAGGCTTAACTCTTTTATTTTAATGTGTCTACTCTAAACATGACTTATTCTGGATCCAACCCTCTATGTGCATGTCCTCCTGTTCCAACCATCCCACTCTGCTCCACACTCCCACCCAGTTGGCAATCTCTCTCCCTCTCTCTCTCTCTCTCTCTCTCTCACACACACACACACACACACACACACACAAACATTCCATGCAATTCATTTATTATTATAGAACAGTTTGGGTTCTTTTCTGCCCCTTCAGGGTTTTCTTTTTGCAGTTTTTGTTTTTTGGCATCCTGCAAACCTCAAGGTTATGCTGAGTCAGCTGGCAACTCTTTATTGTGTTTGGCTCCAGCTCTAGGAGCATGGGAAGACTTAGATTGGTCTTAAAATATATGTTGATGGCCCCTAGATTTAGGATATAATCTTGTACACCAGGGGCAGTCAATGTTACATACTCCAGATACTGCTGACCAGTGCTTTTTTTCTAAACAAATGCTTAGGGGTACTCTCATTTTGACTCAAGAAAATCACTGGGAAAGGGAATGAAACCGCCATCGGAGGTGGTAACAACGAAACTGACCAATCACCATGCTAGATTCCAACGCCTGCTTCACACATTAAACGCTCGCTTCCTTCGGAGACTCAGGAAACAACGTGACAGGAAATGAGGCCGCCATCGGGGGTAGCAATGGAACTGACGGTTGACCGTGCTAAAGAAGAAACTTTTTTGTTTAAAAAAAAAAGAGGTTTCTTCTTCCATTATATTCACAAAATGTTTAGGGGTATGTGTACCCCTGCATTCCCCCAGAAAAAAGCACTGCTGCTAACTAAGATTCCCATCAGCCCTAGCATTAGAGTCAGGTGCCAGGGTCAGGTCAGTAATAAAACTCACAAGGCGTCAGCGAAGTTAACTCTTTATTCCATGAAACAAAACAGCTCAGGCCTAAGGAGCCCAGTAACTCTTGCCAGTACATCTTGTCCCAATGAGGCAGTTGCGAGGACTGAAGGTCCCCGCCTTCCCACAACTATATTCCTTCTCCCTCAGGTCCTTCCCAAGTAACCTGAGGCTCCTTCGTTTTGCCTCTCTTTGCTCTGCCCTCTTCATTCCTCTTTGTGTTCTGGGAGACCAAAGGGGAGGGGAGCTGGTCACAGCAGGAGGGTGAGACTCTCTGGCTTCTTCAGCAGCCTGCCTGATCTCTGCCTCTTGGCCCCACTCCTCTCCAGCCTCCACTTTCCCTCTGCCTCTGGACTGCTCTCTGCCACAGCCTCTCCTGCTCACTAAACCCTGTTACCTCTTCAGCTTCTGACACCTCATCCTCCCAGTCTGCTCCCTCTCCTCCCACTGACCACTCATCATCATCCCACCATCAATCCCATGGGTCTGAGCGTTCTTCCCCTCAGGGTTCCCTTGGGGGTTCCCCAGTTGGTGCCTCCTTTGTACCCAGCCAGTCCATGAAACCTAGGGATGATTGGAATTGAATTTCATAATATATGGAGGGCACCACATTGGCTACCCTTGCTATGCATATGCATAGTTGTTTGGGAATAAGCTCCATTTAACCAGTGGGTCTTCTGAGTGGGTGTTAGATCTTTTCCCTACACCAACAGAAATATAATCTGCATCTTAATCTCATTGAATGTTGGCACTCTTATTAACTTTTTGCAAAGATCGCTGGCAGACCAATAACTAATTTTATTTTAAAATGCATAGATTAGTCCATTTAATCATTCACGTATTTTAATGAAAAAAGCACGTTTGACTCCCTCTATGACACGAATGATAAGAATTAAAATAATTTCAATTACTTTATTGTCAAAGGCCCGCAGTTAAATGAGCTCTACTCTAGTGTGCACATACGCCCAAATCCTCTGCATTTTCTTTCTGTTTTGGTTTTTTTAATTTCTTTTTTTATTATTATTTGCAAATTTAACAAAGGGGGAAGAAAAAGGGGAAAGGGATTAAAAATGAACAGGAAAGAGAATGAATGGAAGAAAAAGAAAGAATAATAATAACACCACCATCGGCTCGCATTAAGGGTGCGATAACAATCAGTGCATCCATCTTGGGTTAAACATAAAGGTTGTCCCAATAGAAACTCTTGCCAGTGGATTTCTGTAAGAAATATGTTCAAATGTATCCAAGGCATTGAGTTCCTCAGGCCATTGTGTGATAGATGACAGGTGTTTATCATTCCAGGCTCAAAGTATAAGTCTCTTAGTGGCCATAAGGGCTTGCAAAATCCACTTTTTTATCCTGCCATTAAACCCCATACTGTGGGAATATAGTTTAAAAGTTCATGAGCGTCTGCAAATATTGAGGAGAGGATTTCACCAATGCAAATTTCTTAAGGACAGCCACTTCAGACCAAAAAGAATGCAGTATATCACTGGACTAGCCCTCATCCTGTAGCTCCATTAGGCATATTCATCATTACACCTGCCACGTAAAAACCAGGACACCCCAAAAGTTTTTCAATTGACCGCACATAAGGTAAAAGGTAAAAAGGTAAAGGATCCCTTGATGGTTAAGTCCAGTCAAAGGCAACTATGGGGTTGTGGTGCTCATCTTGCTTTCAGACCAAGCGTTTGTCCACAGACGGCTTTCTGCGTCATGTGGCCAGCATGTCTAAACTGCTTCTGGTTCACGGAGGACCATGACAAGAGCCAGAGCACACGGAAACAACATTTAAAAGGTAAAGGGACCCCTGACCATTAGATCCAGTCGCGGATGACCCGGGGTTGCGGTGCTCATCTCGCTTTACTGGCCGAGGGAGCCGACGTACAGTCATGTGGCCAGCATGACTAAGCCGCTTCTGGCGAACCAGAGCAGTGCACAGAAACGCTGTTTACCTTCCCGCCGGAGCAGTACCTATTTATCTACTTGTACTGCATGCTTTTGAACTGCTAGGTTGGCAGGAGCAGGGACCGAGCAATGGAAGCTCAAACCGTCACGGGGATTCGAACCACCAACCTTTTGATCGGCAAGCCCTAGGCTCTGTGGTTTACCCCACAGCACCACCCGCGTCCCTTAAATGACATTTACCTTCCCGCTATTTATCTTCTTGCACTGATATGCTTTTGAACTGCTAGATTGGCAGGAACTGGGGCAGAGCAATGGGAGCTCAACCCATAGTGGGGATTTGAACCGCTGACCTTCTGATCGGCAGGCCCAAGAGGCTCAGTGGTTTAGACCACAGCGCCACCCACTTATGGCAGCCCTAATGTCCAGAATCTATCTGCAATGGACAGTGCCTTTCTATACAGATCTTGTGGAGTCCACTATACCCATGATATTAATTTCTGCTGGATCAGTCCCAATTTCAATCCTAAAGATAAAGATTCTAAGGCAAATTTTGTTTAAGCTGTGTAATACTTCTAATTCCCTATTCAACAACTCTCTAAGTTCCTCAAAGGTCCATTAAGCATTTATAAACAACAGTTATGGGTTTGACTTTCTGTAAGGATACAATAATTTCCTCCGACAATATAGGAGATGCTGAAGCACTCAAAGCAGATGGTCCATAAATAAACACCAACAAATGTTGTAACTGAAGATATTGCCATTCGTCATGTGGACTCTTGGAGGTTTTTAAACAGTGACTGCGTGGCCATCTGTCATGTATGATGTAGTTGAGATTCCTGCATTGCAGGGGGTTGGACTAGATGATCCTCGGGTTCCCTTCCAACTCTACAATTCTATGTGCCATGAGAATTAGGAATAAAAAAAAAATGGAAGCATTGTGAAATTGGAGGACAGATCTCAGCATAACACTAGCCAAGAGATATTTCTGAGGTGGGAATACATAAACTGGTTAGCTGGATGAGGGGGTTTTTTGATGGAGAAATAGCTGAAACCCTGATATCTGCCCACATCTTAAAACATGTGCCTTGGATAGTATGTCACTATTTATCATTCCATACTGGAAACAGTAAGACTGAGTATAGCCAGAGATAATAGACTTCTTGCATGTGCCGAAAAGTCTCCCCACCCCAATGTCTTCCTTGTCCTTTGTGCCTTCTGAAAAAGGTCCTAGAGGTTGCTCTCTCTTTTTGTCGCATTGTGCAAAACAAGCATTGTGCTTCCACCTACTTCTCTCCTCATAGTTGTTTTAGTCATGAAAGTGGGATTCTATATCTAGTCAGTCTCCATGGCAACTTTATTTCTTATTAAATGGGAAAGGAAATGACATAATTAACTTACATGACCTCTTTACTTTGCAGAGGAGTTCAGTTGTATCTTTGGTAGTTGTGTTGCATGCTCAAAGACGCGCTTCTCTATTGATAGATATGGTTTTTCCCATTATCGGAGGCTCTTTAGGTGAAAAAAATGGTAGCGGCCTTCTGGAAGCAGGGAAAAGGTGTATTGAATGAGGATGCCAGGCATTCATCTGCCCATTTCAATGATCTCTTTGGAGCGTTTCTCAACAGTCACACACACACACATATATAAACTACTTTACCTTGGCTCTGCGGGAATGCCCATTATATTCATCGTGTTTGGTTTATAGAGGTCTAAATGGTAGGCTTCCAGCAATGATATGTGATGTGAAACAGTTGTGCTCCTTGAATGTGTTCATAGAGAATTAGGGGAGTGATTGCACTCAACCGATAAACTAAGGCACAAATCTCTGTGTCTTTGAAAAACATAGGACACGGTTTTCCTGCGCAGGTCAGACTCAAAGAAATTGCAACAGTAAAAGCCAATTTAAAAACAGCCCTATATGAATCCATCAGTATGTGCAATATTCCCTCACTGCATCTCCCCTGGTTTTAGAGATTATAGGAGTGACGAATTATTGAGCATGTGCCTATAGGGATCTGTATGAATATGCAAGGTTTTGGCATTACGTCAAATGTGATCCTCCTTCCCTTCCATGCATGGAAGTGACTCATTCAGTTTTCCACTCTCTGTGACTACAAAATAGAAGCAGGGAAGCATATGGAGGAGAGAGGGTCACAGAGGTGGTGCCACAGTTAGCCTAAATATGAAATCTCACTGCAGGGGGGACACTCTCTCTCTCTCTCTCTCTCTCTCTCTCTCACACACACACACACACACACACACACAAACAAACAAACACACACACACACCCCTCCTCTTCTACAGCTCTTCCTTTAAACCTCCTTCAGCCATTTATCAAAGACACAACCCTCTCCAGAACCTACCTGCCTCTGACACATATTGCCCTTCATTCCTTCTGATGCCCCTTCCTGCTCCTCTGTAGCACTGCAAATGCCCCTTTAACCCAACCACCTCCACCTGCCGCCTCCTGAGTTCCTCCACCTCTCCAGATTTCTTCCTCCTCCAGCACTGGCAGCCTACAATTGTCACACACCTACCTCTGCCCCCCCCCCAATATTCCCTCTCAGTCTTCCAAATGTCCCCTTTACTCCCAGACAGTTCCATCTGCCTCCTCCCCAAATCCTCCTCTTTCCCTCCCGTCAGTCACCTGTTTTCTGAGAGCCACCTTCCTCCGCCGCTGCCTTTGCAACATTGGAAAGAGGCCAATGAAAACAGACTGATGACGTTCTTGTATTCCTATTATATGCAAGATTTCTAAACCACACTTTCGTTTTATATATATATATATGAAGGCAGTATAAACCATACAAGTTAAGACAATGAAGACATCAGTAACACATCGGCAAAATAAATACTGGTTGGTTAAAAGTAAATTCACATTTCAAAAGACAATGTTTTTAAGCCATGTTTAAAAGAAGGCAGGTATGATTCCTGCCAAACCTCTACTGTCAATAAGTCTTGTGTTGTTGTGGGCGGGATTCCTATAGAGAATCTCATGCATTCTTTGTCACTCCTTTTGCTCCGCCCCGTAAAATGATTGTATTTCCTTCCTGATCCATGCTATCCCAGTATGGATAGTGTAAACTACATGGCTATTGTGTAAAGGTCATCTAAGTCCTGAATTTGCGAGTGGCGGGAAGAATGCAAGGAGGCCTCAGATCAGGTGCTATTCGAAGCAGGGCAGGGCCAGAGATCAATAGTGTGTGTTTGAGGTCATGGGATGGGTGCCCCACGATTTAACACAGCCTCTGCCATGAACAGGATTAAGCTTTCGCAACACAGCAAATACCATTTTTAAAAAAGGGGGGGAGAGTTTGCAGTGGGTTATGAAAAGCTTAACCTTGCGTATGCCAGCTCAGCTGCACACAATGAGCTGACACATTCAGGAATTTGGTGTGATTACCATGAGCCTGGCAATCATGTGACTTGGCCCTGCCGAGGCTCAGTAACGTAGACTGAGATGCAAAATGTGCCTGTAGTCAAGCACTTATGTAATAACCCCCAGTATCAGTGCTACTCAGCCTGGGAACGTTTAGCTCACATTATCTTCAAACCAATCTAGACATGGGAACTAGTGCTGTAATCCTGTGCACGCTGACATTGTGTGTATGGCGGGGGAGGGACCATTGAACAAAATGGGACGCAACCTCTGAATAAACTCATATAAGATCAGGCCACAAAAGTATCCTTTACAGAAAGATCATCTATTTGTTCTGAAGGTAGAGACAGCTACCAATTTTATGTCTTTTTTTGAGATACTAATGAGGGGGGTAAATGCTCTAACTCACTATTCTATTAAATGCTAGAGATACTAGCAAACCTATACTTCTGGGGTTCAGATACAAATCTAGGGGCTTATAATGAGGGGGGGTATAGGAGCCCCACTTTCATCTCTGGCATGGATTAAATAAAAGTTTCCATCCAAACACGTTCCCACCCAGTCTCCCAATTCCCAAGCTCCCCCCTTCACAGTTGAGCCATAATAACATCTAATAAATAGATCCTTTCCTAGCATCTATTCACATCCCAACATGAAAGACCCCACTGTTCTGCCTCATGGGAAATACAGGCTATGAATTCTTGACTCCAAGACACACACACACACACACACACACACACACACACACACAGTGGTCTCACTCAGTAACTGACAGGAGCATCAACTGACCTAGTTTCCAGATGTGAGGGTGGATTTTATTATGATGATTTTCCCTTAGGACTTCAGTCAGTTAGTTCCCAAATCAGCCTGGTGTGTCACTCTTGAACATGTTACTGGAAACAGTCAGAAACAAATGCTTGAAAGGTACATATGTGTGAGAGTGTCATGCATTAAAAAAAAGATTTTTTAAAAAATGGTGATTGACATGGCAGCATTAGACAAGTGACTCACAGTTGTCTACTCCTATGGATCCTTATTCACTTTCTAAATGGCACTTACCATTAGGTAAGTGCATTTGGGATTGCAGTTTGAGTACTTAATTTACATGCCAGCATTACATAATTATTTCTAATCTGCTTGAAGTTTTTCTTCCACACAGCAGAAGTATTCATCCACATTTTGGATCCCATCCTTCCTTCAAGGGTGTCAGGAATCCATAATGGTGCTATCAATCCCATCTTAGGTAAGTTAGGTAAGAGATAATGGCAATCCAAGGCCATTTGCTTACCTTCATTCCTTGTTGAACCCAGACCGTCTTAGTTATTTATTATTTATTGGATTTCTATACTGGCCATCATCCATTTCTATACTGGCCTTCATCCAAGGATCACAGGGAAGTTTACATATAAAAACACAAAAATATATACAATAGCAACAAATAATAATGCCCCACATATCATTATTAGTTACTAAATTTTAGGTTTGGCACTCTCCATAACATCCCATAGGCTCCAAACTGCAGGCTTCTAAGCAATTTCTCTGACGATGAAGTTATGACACCTTTATACTTCTCACATCTTTGATTTATATCAGTTATAAATTTAGAGACACACATTTCAGCATATTTTGCTTGGAAGAAAATATTTCCTTTGTGTGTGTGTTTTTAAATCCCATCCTAATGACTTCTCTCGCTCCTGAATCCCTTGCTGGTTGTTAAATGGGATAAACCAGCTTGAGCTGTATAGTAATAGTGGCACAATGCTTTATGATGCTGTACATGAATAATTAGCAGTCAATGAAGGGGGAAAGATTCCCGGTGCCAGAACAATGACTCAGCAGGTTGAGGAACACGCAGTTTCAGAATTTGACACCTGTGTGATATCTAGTTAGGCTATACACTGTAATTACACCAATGGCAAGTTCTTCCGTAAGGAGATCAAGCATGCAAGACCAAAATAGCTTCGCTTTCTCTCGGGAATAACCCAAAACAAGAGAGCTCTTCCAAGTAAATCTAGTCTAAAGCAAGGGCCAGCATGGGACACCAAAGAGTATTTCTAGCTGGGAAACACCAAAAACAGAGTGATCAAAGCCAACTCTCCAGTGCTTTATTTTATTTATGTATGTAACAAGATGGATGTCATCCTTCGAGGCAGATGCTTAGAACTGCTGTAGCATAAAGTTTAAGATCGAGAAATGCCTGGGTCAATGTTTCCTCTGCCAGGTGGCCTTAGGCAAGCCACTCACTCTCACCCTGCCATCTGCAATATTTTAGCAGTGTTGGGAAAGGGTACATAAGATGCTGCCTTATATTAGTCCATCTAGCTCAGCCTTGTCTACTCTAACCAGCAACTGCTCTCAGTCGCCTACCTAGAGATCCCAGAGATTGAAGCTGGAATGCCTTGTATGCAAAGCAATTTGTTTTATTGCTATTTCATTGTATTTTATTATATTGGTATTATTGTTGACTGTCCTGAGTAGCATTTGACAGCAAGGCGGGATACAACTCTAGCTAATGATAATAATATATAATAAACCTACACCCTAAACACTGTGTTAACAACCTGATTGCAATTTTGGCCACTTTCTTGTATTGCATATACATATCAGTTTTAATCTAAGAATTCTAGGAACTTCTGCTTCACTGCAATTTTAAAGTTAACATTGTGATAACTGAGTTGCTTCATTTTGCATTTTGCTTATTGATGTTGAAACTGTTCATGCCTTAACCTGCCACATTAAAAATGAAGGTCTGGGGCTATTGAACATATCATTAATCTACTGTGCTTTATGAGGAATGATACAAAAATTCAGTGGACAAACTGTGGCAGAAGCTGAAGTCATTTAACATACGAGTAGATTTATCTTTGTGCAGGTAACAGTTGTGCTTATTTGTTTTGATCAATACTATATATGTATAAAGCAGCTGGGTGTGTGTGTTTGTGTGTGTGTGTGTTCCTAAATAGACCTTTTTTGCCCTGGTGAACCAGGAAAGGAACATTTAAGGATTAAATAAGCTTTAATGTTGTCTTTACTCAGGAGCTGAATAGTTGCTGATTAGGCCTGACTAAATTCTACCTTCTTTACAGTCCTATGTAATATCTTTGTTACTAAGGAACCATTACTGTATTATTTGGAATATGGAAAGTTCTGCAGTGCACATTTCTCTTATAAAAGCAGCCTTTTGCTTGGTTTAAGCTTCCTTAAGTTACAAGTACTTAAACTACCTGGGAGAAATATCAAATAAATAACTCCAGGGACAACCCAGCCCTGCCATATGTATGCAAAGAGCACAGGACCAAAGTCTGTGGACAACCAAATAGACATCCAAGGACATCTGCAGAGCATACAAGGTGTTCACTGCCACCATCCAACAATTGTGCCAATCTGTGCCCAGCCAGACATCCAGCAACCCAAGCCCTTGTACACTCATGCACTGCTCCTTCTAGAAGTTTACTGTGTAGAAGGGAAGAGGCACTACCTTACCGATGGCTGGCAACTGACAAAACATTGTTTTTATTATGTATTTTGTGTTTCTATCTTGTGTTTTTATGCTGTGGACCGCCCTGAGATATTTGGATGAAGGGCAGTATCCAAATTTAATAAATTCGTATGTACTGGATGCAATGAATGGTGAAAGAGTTAGGGAAGTGGCCCAATGTGTGATATCTCCGGTATCCACCACAGCCAAAAACTGAGATCATTGGTTGTTGGGTCTTTCGTGGACTGACCCATCAGTCACCTGCAGAATCTTGTAGGGTAAGTGGATCTGTCTTGCTCTTCCTGTGTTGCCCATTAGCAATGAGGGTACAGCAGTTGTCTCTCCCCACGCCATCCCAGCCACTGCAAGGGCAGCTCCATGCCCTGCTTTGCATGAATCAGTAGGACTGTGACCATGGAACTGTGCTGGTGTCCCATAGGAAGTGCCCATGCTCAAAATACAGGAAGATGTAAGGTATCCTGGTCCTCTAACTTCTCCCCTATCTGCTTTGAGGAGGCTATGGCAGGATGGGTGGGTGTACATGTGTCAGAAGGTGGTATTTCATTAATTACTGTATAAATAATATAAAGTGTGCTTTCACCCAACAAACACATAATCTGAGATGTAAAGAACAGCAAAGCAAGGGTGCAAAACCTGTGGCCCTCCAAATGTTTCATCATC